CAGACCAGAACAGTAGGCCTTAGCTCAATACCACTATATTTTAAGAAATAATGGTGAACTCTCCCAAAAAAAAGTAGATTTCATCAAAACACGCCACTTAATGGCTACTGAGTCCCGAGAAAGCACTTCGCACTATGTGATTCATGCTTGAGAGGTTGCATCCATGTTAGTTTTCATGGAGGATCTTAGTCAAGCATTTCACTCGTACGCGACAAATGCTTAAAGGGTTGTGCACATGCATGTTTTCTTGTAGGACTTTAGTGTAGCACTTTATCCTTACACTACTCATGCTTGAAAGGCTTTATATATGTCTGCTTTCTTTGAGGACTTTAGAGAAACACTTCACCCTGACATGACTCATGCTTGATGTGTTGTGTACATGTCCGATCTCTTAGATCGGGTCATGGGGTGGGCTGGAGTCAACCTAGATACAGTAGGAGCCCATCCCACTTAAAGTAATTTATTCAGAATTGTGTGACCATGCTAAAATGACTAATGGGGAAAAATTAGTTATATCGGCCCAAGTATGACGTATGTCAATATCTAATAAAGAAATGTTTGAAAAGACATTTATTATTGATGGAGGATATCCAAATATAATATTTGGAATAATTAATCTGATTCCAATCATCATTAAGAAGACATAACAATCACGATCAATCATATTGAATGTCCTTTAATGGGCTTTTGTGTAAGACATGTTAAAATGGCTATATAAGGAGAAACACGCAAGAGGAAAAATCATTCACAATTCACGAGATTTTCAATTGTGGCTTTATTAGTTTGCACTAATAAAAATATCATAGATGTGTTATAATAATAATAAATTATTATATTTACTATTTGAAATATGTTGTGAATAGTGAATATCTACTATATATAAAATTTTGTCAAGTTAGAATAGTTATATATATTATTATATTAGATGAATAGTTATTCTTCATGTAGTATAAATAGCATATCTTAGATGCATGAAAACACACAACATTTCCTTCACAGAAATAAATCACTCTCACATTCTCTTCTACATCTCTATTTACTTAGTTTGGTTCAGATATTCGCTTTATCTCAACACGATCGTTTCTATAAGAAGTTTTTACTACATTAGATATATATTCTATACTTATTACTTTAGTCCTATTAGTACTGTTATTATTATTATTTTCCCCAGTTATAGAAAACTAGCAACCAGTCAAGTGATTTATAACTAGAGTGGCTATTACTGTTATTATTATTATTATTTGCCCCGATTATAAAAAATTGGCAACTAGTCAAGTGATTTATAACTAGAGTGGCTATTACTATTATTATTTGTCCCGGTTATAGAAAACTGGCAACCAGTCAAGTGATTTATAACTAGAGTGACTATTATTGTTATTATTACTTTACTTCTTGTTATAGAAAACTAACAACTTGTCAAGTGCTCTATAATAAGTAAAACTATTCTTATTATATATTTTTTGTGGAGGTTTAAAACCCCATAGGATGTTACTAAATTTTGTATTTAGTGGAGGTTTAAAACCCCATGTTTTTACTAAATTTTATATTTAGTGAAGGTTTAAAATCACATGTTGTTACTAAATTTTATATTTAGTGGAGGTTTAAAACCCCATGTTATTACTAGCTTTATATTTAGTGGAGGTTTAAAATCCCATGTTGTTACTAGATTTTTTTTATATTTAATGGAGGCCTAAAACCTCATATGTATATTCTAATATTTATCATATGTGTTCTTTTGTCTTATATGTTATCTGATAATTATCTCCAACACTTATAACAGTTATATAATTTTTTTTTACACACTTAAACTTTGGCTAGATAATTTTTTTCCACATTTAACCTTTTCCCTTTTTCTTTTCCCTTTCCCCAACGATAATATGACGATTATTTTTCAAAAAATTACCTCTAAATATTTCAACTTCTTCCATAATTTTCACATCATTCTCAAAACTTCTATCCATATTTTTCAAATGGATAAAATTCTTCTTTTGTCCATCACTCTACTTGTAATTATTTTGTTTATTATCAGTATTATCAAACGTGAAGAATTAAGTAATGATTTTGTAGCTTTGATAATAATTATCGTCTTACCATTACTAGTCTTAGCTTGATTTATTAGTAGAGATTTTTGAATAATATGTAGTAACGAATTTTATAATTGAATAAATTGTTTTTCTTTTTTTTTAGTTTATGTATTTAATATTGTTTATGTTCATCTAAATTATAGATATAATCATGTCAAATCTTAAGCATCAATTTAAATTTCTAAGCATAACTGGGGACAACTTCATAATCTGGAACAATAATTTAATTGAATATCTTATATGTGAGGGACTTAATAAAATACTTGAAGGAGACAATTCTGGAAAATCGACAGACGGTCCAGATAAAATGGAAAAAAGAAAGTCAAAAGTGCCATAGGAAATTAATGAAGAGGATCTTGGCTCAGAAGTGCCATATCTCAGTGCCATTGGGACATTCATGTACCTTGTCAATTATACAAGACCCGATATATCTTTTGTAGTGAATTTACTAGCAAGATTCAATACATGTCCTACAAAGAGACATTGGAAATGAATAAAATAAATATTTCGATATCTCAGAGGTACATTTGATCTTGGTTTGTTTTATTCTAACAATACAAAACCAGTTTTGCTTGGTTATGCAGATGCATGATATTTGTCAGATCCATATAATGCTAAATCACAGACTGGATATGTCTTCACATATGGCGGCACTGCAATATCATGGAGATCTCAAAAGAAAACACTTGTAGCAACTTTTTCAAATCATACTGAAGTAATTGCCCTTCATGAAACAAGCAAAGAGTGTAGATGGTTAAGATTAGTGACTCAATATATCCAAGGAGCATCTGGTTTAACAACAGATAAAATTTAATAATTTTATATGAAGACAATGTTGCATGTGTTACCCAGATGAAAGAAGATTACATCAAATCTGATAGAACCAAACACAACCCTCCAAAGTTCTTCTCATTCACACAAGAACTCGTAAGAAACAAAGAGATTGATATTCAATACATTCGTTCGAGTGATAATATGGTGAATCTCTTCACAAAAGCACTTCCCACATCAGTTTTCAGGAAGCACTTACAAAATATTGGTATATGACACCTTCGAGATCTTTGAAGAAGAACTAATGTGTCATATTGAGGGGGAGCATAATGTTGTACTCTTTTTCCCTTATTAAGATTTTTAATAAGGTTTTTAACGAGACAACAGATGTACCTATAACTATCCTCAACAAGACTTCAACAGAGCATCATGGCAAATATTTCAAAAGAGGGAGTATTATAATAATAATAAATTATTATATTTACTATTTAAAATATATTGTGAATAGTGAATATCTACTATATACAAAATTTTGTCAACTTAGAATAGTTACATGTATTATTACATTAGATGAATAGTTATACTTCATGTAGTATAAATAACATATCTTAGATGTATGAAAACACACAATATTTCCTTCAAAGAAATAAATCACTCTCACACTCTCTTCTACATCTCTATTTACTTAGTTTGGTTCAGATATTCGTCTTATCTCAACTAGATGTATTTTATAACTATGTTAAAATATTGATTTTTTTTAATACATTGATATTTTTATTTTTACTTTATTATTGATTGTTACTTTATTATTTGAAATATTTAAAATGTTTGTTTGAAAGTTTTCTAATTATTTAATTCATTAATTTTAGTGTACCTTGACTTTTGTTTGACTTTGAAACAAATTGATAGTTGAAGAAATTAAATATTTTAATTTGAAAAAATTTATTTTAATACAAGAATAGAGCGAAGATATTTGAAATCATTTAGAACGAGTTTAGAACTAAAAGTCTCTATAAAAATTAAATATATAAAATAAATATTTAACTGAAATTTAAATTTGAACGTGAAAAAGATAAAACTCATACTAATTGCGCCTCGTTGCGATGCCTACTTTTAAGTCTCTCTAAAAATCTAATCTAAAACATTATAATAATCATGTGAATTATAATATAATGATTGATTATTAATCAATTTTATAGAATAGAGTTTCATTCATTTATTGCATATTCTAAAAGTTGTATACTAAAAGAAACAAAGAGTAAAACAAGTGCATTAAGTACAATGACCATTTAGTTCACTCATGTCTCTTCATGTCGCAATAAAATCTCACTTACCACGCTTTGGATTTGAATTATTGAGAGGTGTATTACAGTACAAAGGACTATTCACAGGAGGAAAGGGGTTAGATCCAACTGTAAAAAGGGAAAAAGACAATACTTTTAAAAAAAAGATGTGACTATCAAGTAGATTAGAACATGTTCCTCTCTAGTAGTTATCACTCTTCCTCCTAGAAGGAGACAAATCATAGTCTTTTTCCAATATTAGGAATTCAATTATTCATGTTATAAACTTTTATTCATAACTTAAAGAGGTTTATGTCATTTTGGTAAACAATATGAGGCTTGCATCTTTGTTGAAAACTCGAAATCTTAAAATGTGTTTTTCTCAAAATCTGAGTTTCGAATTCTTATAATATTTTTTTATTTGACCTATTCATATAAAGTTAAATTCTGACCTTAAATAAGACATACATAAGTGGACAGTAAAATTGGTCTCGTAGATTAGTCGATTATAGAGTTAGATATCAAATTTTCAAAGAAAATAAATAATCATATTGTTGTAAACATTATTGGTGAAATGTCAATTAAGCTACATGGATATATGGTCCTACATTGTTGACAATTTGCATCTTCCATTTGCCTACTTATAGAGCTACTCTTAAATATGCTATTCATGTTAAATCCTCTCTTGCATCTACTTCCTTTTCCTTCACATAAATGAGTATTCCTATGAGCATCTTTCAACTTCTTAAGACCCTTTTGCACACCAAAAAGTACTCATAATTCACTTCTTTTACTTCATTTCTCAAACTATTACATACTTATATAGTACCTTTGTCTTTACCACTTTTCGTTGTACTTAACCATGGTTATCTCAGCAACCACTTTCACCTCTCAGAACACCAACAATAACCTCCGTGATGCTTCTTTCTCTTCTTACTTGAACAACAAGAAAGAGACTTTTGCTGATTCAAGCCACCCAATTAGCATCAACAGAAAGGAACCTCTTCAACTTGGAGTAAAGAAAGAAGACGACGGAGAAATCGGAGTTTTTGATGCTGAAAAGTATTTCAATGGAGTTGAAGCAGACACTCCAACTCCAAGAGTTGCTACCATAGATGCTAATAAATTCAAGTACATGAAAAACCAACAACAAAAATGTCTACAAAATAGAAAGCCCAAAGTTCAATATGGAACTCCAAGTGTTAGCTCAGAATCAAGCTTGAATAGCCAAAATACACTTTTACAAACTGCTGTGAAAAGCTCTTCAAGCATTAGGAAAAACCAAGTTCGTAGAAAGAGTCTTTTCGCTATTCTTGGTTGCAAATGTTCTTGTTATGATAAGAATTCTGTGGATGTAAATGATCATGCAGGTGAAATCAGTTTCAACAAAGGTGTAGTTCATGGAAAAACAACCTCAGAAAAACACTTCAAACATGATCAAGATGCTCCTAAGAAAACCGAGACTCGTTCTGCAGGAGAACCCGTGATGAACAAAGATATATACTTACGAAAACAAGAAAAGATTTCTACTTTCAACATGCAGCTTCAACAAGTAGAGAATCCAAGGAAAACATTGGAAGTGTTTGGTTCACCGATATTATATGAAAGATGCAAATCATTAAGCTTTGATATGAGGCTAAAAAAACCATCTTGGGAAGCAGGTTCTAAACTTGAAGAAGAAATTGAGTTTTCTACAAATTCTGGTGAAAACTATGATGATGAAGCTGGAAGTGATGCAAGTTCAGACTTATTTGAGATTGAAAGTTTCACAGGTAAAACCAACCCTTCCTTTTGTAGAACAACTTCCAATGTTGCTTCTGGTTGTGCTAGTCCAACATGTTATGCACCAAGTGAAGCTAGCATAGAATGGAGTGTGATAACAGCAAGTGCAGTTGAGTATTCAGCTGTTTCAGATCATGAAGATCAAGAAACTATAAGGACTCCTACAAGAACATCCTTGAATTCATCAAATGCTAAAGCAAGAATCAATAAAGAGACGCCGAAGCGGCGTCCGAGTAAGTTCTTGGGATGTAACAGCCAGAAATCTGTCGGTGTTGCTGCTGATGCATTCACGACAACATATGAGAAACAAAATATTAATCCAAAAGTTCATGGTAAGTCAGATATGTTACCTGATGTGACAAGGTTTAAGGTGGATAGTTTTGGTGCAAGAAAAGAACAACATGGTTATGGTTATGCAAAACCTCCTCTTAGGAGATCACATTCACCACATGGTGCACAGCTTTTGTATATTTAGATATTGGTTTTATTTCAAGTGTACTTTTTTTTTTCTTTGTAGTTGGAATTTGTTTAGTCATGTGTACCTTGAGTATGGAATTAGTTGTAAACTTGTAATGCAGTTTAATTTTATTGGTTACCATTTTTCGTAATAATGCAAAGTGAATTATTGCATTTTCGAACCCGCGTCTCTAGAATTGAATGTTTTTGTAATTACCAACCGAGCTAATGGATATAATCAAGTGTTTGAAGTGGAATTTTCTCAAAAATATTGGTCTGGTGGCACGCATGGAAGATATGCCATGTTGGATGTAAACTTAGTTTTTCTAAATGGTTATCTTGAAGAAGAGATTTATGTGGAACAAACTGAAAAATTCAAAGTGAAAGGACATGAGAAGGTCTAATTGTTGAAGAAGACTTTATATGGTTTTAAAATGTCTATAAGAACTTAGATGAGTTAAAAGTCCTAGTGAAGCTACATTATATGTCAAATAAGTGAAGAGTAATTTATTAGTTGTTTTTATTTATGTTGATGACGTGCGTATTATGGATATATGTGCTTGTAAATATAGTTAAGAAGTGATCTAAGATAGAAGAGTTTATGAAAACAAAGATGCAAGATAACTAGTTGTTGTTTAATTTTAATGATGACAACACTTGAAGTAAAGTAACGGCTGAAGATAACTCAAGTAGATAAAAATGCACAATATGGTTGATCAAACTATCATCCTGAATCAAGCAAAAGACATTTATTTAAAGTCAACACTGCAGTCCAACGATTCTCAAGTGAAGACTTAGAATTTATTAAAACTGATTATTTAATCTTTCAAACTCTCAGATGATGGTAATAAACATGGAGATATTTCAAGTCTCATCAAGAAGACTCAAGATTCTTGTATGACGTTAAAGTCAAAGATAATTCTATTAAGATTTGAAGCTTCAGAGTATGAAAGAGATGAAGTGTCAAAACTTGCTTGATCGTGTCTAAGTGATCAGTGTATTGTAAAGAGATCGGGATGTTTTTAGAAACACTATGTCTAAATCACACACACAAACTAAAAAATCTTGAGAAGTCTCACATGTTTTAATATGATCACCAAAAAAAGTTATTAAGGCCTAACTAGTTGATTAAGGAAGTGTTCAATTGATTAGGAGACCTCATGCAATTGTCTAATAAATTAGATTTTTGGCCTAATCGATTAGATGATGAATAATTAAGTGTATATAATCGATTGTGACATTCTTTTAATTATTGGTAATGACTCTATATCTAAACCTTCCATTTTTTTTGTCACAAAAATCCATAATTTGCATTGCCTGACCGATTGGCCTAATTAATTAGGTTATTAATTTAGCCTATGAATTATTCTCAAATTTACACCACATATTGACCTATAAATAGAGAGCTTCTATGTCACTTTTACACTTCCAAAAAATGTGAAAACCCCCATTTTTCATTTCTCTCATTACCACTTTATATCTCTCATATTTTCTCACATAATTTAGTCACAGTGTTTTAAGAGTGTTTTTGAGTCTACTGAGAAATATTATTTTGGTTGAGGGTAAAAGTTTAAATTTACCAAGAGTAGATTTTTCCTTTGAGTAAATAATTCTTCCTTAGAAAGTTGTTATTTTTGTTGTTATCTAAACCATTGAAAAAACTCTTGTTTGTATTTAGAGAATTTTTCTAAGTCTCCATTTAATTCGTGAGCTCAACCATTGAAGAATATCTCTATTATTTAATGAAAATCATCTAGTAAAAATCTCCACAATGATTCTTGAGCTCAGCCCTGTTAAAAGCCTCATCAGTTCGAGAACAACTTGGTGTCAAATATCTCTTGGTTTTTGAGTTCAGCATGGTGTAAAAATTCAGTAGGATTAAGATTAGTCTGGTAAAAATTTTGGTTCACTTCGCGGACACCCTGTGTAAAAGTCTAGTTTAATTTGGTGGATAGCCAACTTAAAACTCCGTCTTGGTTTAAAATCAGCCCGTGCAAAATATTTGTTTGATCATGCCTTTAAATTAAAACAAATATCTTTATTTCTTTAATTATAAGTCTACCAAGGAAATGTGTGACACTCTTAAAATGATCTTACAAGTATTGAACAAGAGAAATGAACACACGTGATAAAGAAGATGAATTTGAATGTTTCTTTCACAAATATTTTTCAGCCTTTAGAAATCTTGTAAAGCGTGTTAAAACATTCGTCACTTACAAATATATAAGAATTGAGAATTGGAATTAGAAAAATGATCTAATTCTTAAATTGAGAGATGAAAATATTTACGATTTTTAGGAAAAATCCTAAAAGGAAGAAACCGTCGAGAAATTAAATGAGTTGATTCAATTGTTAAAAGATGAAGGGGTGAGCTCAAACCTAGTAGAATCTCTAACAATTAAATCAAAGACTTTTTTTTTTAATAAGAATAAGAGAAAAGTCAATTTTAGTAGTCTTGTTTGAAAGAACAATCTTAGTTATTGAACAATCTTTGGAAGATTTAATATCCAATGGAGAAAATTCATCAAGAAAAGAATATGAAGAGGAATAAGTTTCCTCTAATACAATCTTCGAAAGAAGAAATGAGAAAGAAATCTCAACGAGAAATATATTTAGAGATTCAACATCAAGGAGAAATCTCGAAGAATCAACCTCTAGTAAAATATTCGAAGAATCATCTTCCAACGAATAAGATGAAAAAAATTTCTTGAAAGTTTCTCCCAAAGAAGATGAAAGAGGTAACAACTCTTTCATACAACCAACTCCTTAAATTAAATGATAAGTTAATTGAGGAACATGATAATACTGAAAAGCATAATATTGATCTTAAAGACTACATTGAGTTTCTAGAAAATAATAATCAAACACTTAGATATGAAATGGCTAATAATAGAAATCAATCTGAAAACTAATTAATGGAAAAGGAAGTGAAAAATCTTCATGAAATCGTTAGTAAATTTACCAATATGAAATAAAACCTAGATTTTGTTCTATCAAATGAAAGGTCTTCATTGAATAAAACAGGATTATGGTTTAAATGATGTATATCACATAGTAAAAGATTTAATTGGAAGAAATTAAATTGCCAAATTTTTAAATGCTCCTATTGTGATAAGCTTGACCACTTAAAGTGGTTTTATTTTGATAAATTAATAAAGTCTAAAGGTAATAACTATATACTTCTTAGAACTACTAAGGCCCCATGACTCAAGAAAAATTGGGTACGAAAGGTGAAAATCTAGAAGTTTTGTAAAGATGTTTTACAACTTTAAATGAAGTCTTAGTGCATATTAAATAAACATGTGCAAAGAAAGATTTTTATAAAAGATGTCCCAATAACGTTTAAAGATGTTTAACAAGAGTAGATTTTTCTCTTGAGTAAATAACTCTTCCTTAAGTTTTCTTTTGGTTCGTGAACACTATCATGGAAGAAGTTCTCTTTTGATTCGTGAAGATCAGTTCGTAAAAATTTTCATAACGGTTCTTGAGCTCGTCTCGATTAAAAGTTCTATCGTTCGAGATCATCTCGGTGTAAAATCTCAGTAGGTTCGATAGTTTAGCTTTGTGTAAACACTTTGTAGGTTCAATATCAAATTGGTAAAAATATCAGTTTGGTTCGTAGTCAGCCTGTGTAAAACCTCTGTTCATATCAGAGTATAGCCAACTTAAAATTTTGTCTTGATTCGATATCAACTTACAAAAAATCTTTGTTTAGTTTGAAGACTAGCTGTTTTAAGTCATGTTCTTTGTTTGATTTGGAGCCTAATTATTTCAAACATATTGAATATTCTTAAGAATAATTTTTGAGGATATAGTTAGGTATTTTTGATTGAACTTGTATAATTGTTAATTATTTTATAGTCAATGATAAAAGAAACACAATAAATTATTGTTTTAGTTTTGGATTAAGGATAATCTCTTGGTGTTCAAAACAAAAGTTATAACTCAAAGTACAACTGAGACATAATTTATAGCAGGAAATGTCACATTAATTAAAAAATATGGGATAAAAAAATACTTCTTAACTTGCCTATGATGCAAAATGAACCAACTGAGATTTTGGTTGATAGTCAAGCCGCAACTTCCATTTCAAAGGATCGTGTTTTCCATGGAAAATCTAAACACTTATTGATCAAACTATATCCCTTGCAAGAAGAGAAAAAGCTTGATGAAATCAAATTGATCTGCTGCAAGATTGATGATTAAGTGGATGATATGTTAACAAAAAAAGTTAAATATTAATTAAGTGTTTGGGTTTGAGAGATAAACGAATCTTTACAAAGAATGATATTTGAAAAATATCAAATTCAATTTTTGAAAGAAATAACGTATGACCAATACACATGTCTCTGTAACAGAAATCAGATTAATCAATTTACTATGTAAATTGGAAACAAGTGCGAAAGAAGGAAAAAAAGTTATATATTAAGAAATAAAATAGAAAATTTTAAAAAAAATTAAATAAAAAAAAGACGATACATACAAATTAAGTTATGATAGTTTTAACTTTTAAGAAAAACTATTGAGATGTTTGCAATTACAACTTGGTTTCAAAAATAGTAATTTAGAAAATTTATTATTTATTTTCCGGTATGTTTTAACTCATATAACAGAATAATACTTATAATTAGAATTAGAAGTGGTAAAATAGGGGGATTTGTCAAATTAATTCATTTAACTTATTATTTTAAGAGAATTGGGTTGTAATTTTAAATTCAGTTCCACTAATTGACCCGACTCGTTTAATTAGTTAAAATGATAATATTGTTATAAATTTTTCAATATTTAATAGGATGACCCATTAAAAATTAGCCAAATAGAAAATCAAATGGTTGGTTTTTTAAGGATTACATGTTCCCCATCATTGTAAATATAGAAAATTTATTTAAGCTCTATGAATTGAAGTTGCCAACATGAAAAAAACTATCAATTACTTTGCTGACACTTTCATTTTTTATAAAACTTTTAAATGTTTATATTTAATTTGTAATTAAATGACAGAACCTACACAAGATTTTT